CTTATTCCAGAGACGCTTACCGCGCGCACTGACATCTTTATCAAAAGTTAATATTTTCGTGAACGTGAAGTTTTTCTCATCGTTTTCCTTCATATTGAAACAATTGAAATAAACGTGTGTAGGGAACTTGGGAAAAAATGTATTTCAAATTAAAAGTATAACTTATTTGTTGATTCCTCTCTCCTCCCTTTTTTATTACTGTCCTATTAAAATGTAACTATTTTAAACACGTTATTGTGGCAAATTTGAAACCGAAATCATTACTAAATTATGTAAACTATACTATGATTTACAGATTATGACATATATTTAATTTGTATTATTCGTTTGATTCTACTTAAAATTTGACTTGATCACGTGCTTGCCTAGAATTAAGAATATACTTTACATAAATGAAATAGGTATTGCTTTACATTTATCAATGCTTTTGGTCCTACTGCTGTCGATTCTTATATTTTGGCATTGCACAAGTCCGTGTTTTACTCAGACTGTTAATGACGTCTTTGTACTAAACACATTGGATGTGTACTGATTAATATTTTAGTCTGGGAATGAATTAGTTGTATGATGGATGTGTACACAATTTTGGCTGCTGGATTGCAATTATTCTCACATCAACCAATTATAAAATTCAGAATAGAAATGGGGAATATGTCAAAGAGACAACAACCCGACCAAAGAGCAGACAACAACCGAAGGCCACCAATGGGTCTTCATCGCAGCGAGAAAATTCCGCACCCGGAGGTGGTCCTCAGCTGGTCCCTAAATAAAATTGTGTACTCGTTCAGTGAAAATGGACGTCCCACTATGTCTGTTTGGGTTACTCACCCGATTTTGTCAATAGAACGGAACTATATACAACTTTCACGATACAAGTGGGAGGTTTAGCTAGTTATAAAACCAGGTTTAACTCACAATTTTCTTCGGAAAATGCCTGTTACAAGCCAGGAATATGACTTGTTTTCCAGTCGTTCCATTGGTTGATAAAATCGAACGTTTGGTCTTTAATATGAAGAATATTAATATACACCATGCTTGCAAACTGTATGTCTATTCAGTTTCCTTTAATTTTACAAGTTCTATTTCATTCTGCACTAGATCTAATGATGTCAAAGGTTTGAGAGAAGAAAAAAAAATATGAATGTGATAATAAGTAAATGAAAAATAACACTTGATATTCCTGCTACCAATCTTTATCTTTTTTTAATTTTTCTAAAAAAAACTATCAAAGTCATATCTATACAAGGGTTTAACGTTCAACTATGTTTCCGGTTATGCGAGTATATACACATACGGTAAAACTGTAAGCGTACATTTATAAACGCTGCGTTGATTAGTTCATAACGACAAACTAGTAATTAGTTTCTAGATAGAAATAAACCATTGCTTTAGAAATTGCTCACCTTACAAATTATTGAAATAACAAAAATACCGAACTCCAAGGAAAATTCAAAAACGGAAAGTCCTTTATCGGTGACCAAACTAGTTTAGCAATACACTTCAATGTAACAGTTTATAAAAAATAATAATAGAGAGCACAAAAAGAGCTTTAAAATATCGGATTAGTTGTCGAGTTCTTAAAAAAATTTGAAAATATTAATTTAATTTGAAAGTAAAACATTAAATCAATGACAAGTAAAAGAGAGCACAGAAGGAGTTTTAAAATACCGGATTATTTGTCGAGTTCTTAAAAATAAACGAATTTGAATATTATAAAAAGGTACCACTTATATTTATTTCCTTAGGTTAGCGTTTTGGTAGATTAAGAATAAAAGAACGTTAAAACCTAAATTTAAAATCTAAACAATGCTAAATATAAGAAACACAATGATAATCAATATAGCCTTTATCAAAAAGTCCGTATGCTAAAAATGAAATAGAGATTCTAACACATTTCATCGATTGGATAGGATAATTCTCCACTCGAGGCAAACAGTTAAATTTTCCAATTTCAAACAATCTCATAAAATTTTCAAATTCAACTGTCGAGAGTGGAGTATTATCGTATTGCATGAGATCTGTTTATCTAATGATTTTAGGACGATATACACAAAATTGTATCTTCTCTTTCCAAGGCTGTGCAAAAACAATTCTTTTAATGTGAAGTCATCGTGCAAGAATTTACATATATCTATTTATAGAATAATATTATTACTTCTAATTAAACCCAACTCTGTTCAAAATCTTTCAAAGACTGACATTTAGTATGTATTTCAACCTGTATTGACATTTAAAAATCCATCTGGTAACAGTTTAAGCAACTATATTCTTTCATGCATCTTTTAATTCATACCATTTTGTATGAAACTAGGGTCAAATCGCCACGAGTTGTGAAACGATGCCTGAAATTAGTTGTAAAAGTCTACCACTAATTTTGATATTGAATCCTTGAACTTTAGGTCAAGGTTGTGTTCTTTTTTTTATAAACTATTACAATGAAGTGTGTTGGTTAATTAGTTGTTCACCGGTAAATGTGTTAAATAAATTTTGATGCCTGAAATACAAAAAATATCATTAGTTCGTATGTGTAATTAAGTCATCTATAAAGCTAAACCAGTTCATAATATTTTGCAACAAAGGGACCCCAGAACTGGGAATTAAGATAAAGTTTCCATTAGATTTATTGATTTGATATTGTCATCTGACAGCGTTCAGCTGGAGTGACACACATAAATCACTTCTGTCGACTTTTTTCGTCGTCCGAGTTAACCCGAAACTGCTTGAAAACGGCTTGACAGAATCAACCAGTCTTGCATAGAAAATTATCTTCAAGACATGAAGTTGTGCACCTACTATTTTAATTCTAGTTTGTGTGGGTTCTTTTTCTGTTTCCCAATCCATCAAATGGACTATACAATTCTGCTAATATCAGTTTGTAAATCTTAGAAAACGGCATGACATAATTAGACCTAAATTGTATGAGTTATATCTTTTGGAGTTTCCCATATGTTGTTACAATAATTCATTTATCTTGCAATACGATTATTGACTGGTGTATCTGAAGGTCTACGGTAAATTTAGTATAAACCCCACCAATGCATTCCTCATAAATACCAGGCTTCAAATGTTGTACGCAAGACGTGCGTTTCGTCCACAAAAGAATCATCTGTGACACTCGAATCAAAACAATTTAAAAGGCCAAATAAAATACGAGTTCAAAGGAACTGAGTACCCAAAATTCCGAGAAGTGATTGTTTGTACATATGACGGAAATATCGTCATTATCATATTCCACGTGCCTGTGTTTTTTATTTTTTTTAATTTATATTTATGTTTATTTAGAGTCAGAGGAACTTCGGCAGTCTTCGGGGTCGTCTCGATGGCGTTTTGAGACAATTCAGTGTTACCAAAAGTCATACACATAATTTCCTCGTCTTTATATGTTTTGTTTCGTGGGTTCGTGCGTTAAAGTTTGATTGTTTGCGCCAAATATTACGGCCAGAATAAACTATTATCTCAGTTAAATTCTATGAAATATACATATTGCAATATTTTTGCTGTGAATTGTTTTTCATTTACATGGCGCCTTATCAAGTTGCCACATTGAACATAATTTGAAATACATATATTTACCGAACAAATATGAAATGCAAGTTCCTCCACACAATCTTTTAGTTACCGTTCAAACTAAAAGCTCAGACCGTACATATATGTTTCTACCATTGCATAACTCATTTCAAGACAGTGTTCTAAACAAAAAATAAATCGTGAGGCTTGCAAAGCGTTTTAAATATTTAAAAATTAAATGTCAAGAGTGCAGAAAATTTGTATCACACGAGATACGATGGTAAAATCTGTTTCTCTAATGATTTTTAGACGATTTATAGGCAAACGCTATTTTACCTTTTTAGATCTGTGTTCTGCCAAAATAATTCGTGTTTTTTGTTCTATGTGAAGATATCGGGTTATAAACATGGTCGCCTTTTTTTCTGGACACAATAGTAAAATCAAAGAAAAGCAAGAATACTTGAGGTCATAACGGGGTTTGAACAATGAAGGAACTACTCTTTGATTTTAGAAAAATAATCAACTGATCGGGAAAAGTATAAATCGGATAAGAATACAAAAAGTATTTCTACAAATGTTAAAAATCTTATTTTCAAATCAAATAGATGTCATTTACTTTCTGAGCACCTTAGTTTATCACATGTTTTTAAAGGTTCGTGTTTCTCAATTTAAGCTTTCTGTGTAGTTTTTCGAGGACTCGTCTTGTTTGTCTGTTGATCTGTTTTTTCTTCGACCTTTGATCACCTTTGCTTTGGTTGTCCCCTTGGTATTTTTATTTACCTTTTTACAAAGGTACAAATACTTACAAGAAATGGATTTGAAAAGTTTATTACCATTTTCAATATCAAGACGTAGTGTTTAACAGGAACATTTCAGAAATTGACCATTATGTTTGTTATTTTGTTAAACTCAACAAACTCGCTGAACTTGATACTGTAGTTCTAATCATCTGTATAAAATCTATTGCTGGAAATCCTGACATGTTGGAAATTGTTTTAATAAGAGGGTGATTCAAAATACAACTAATTAAATTTAGCAAGAAATTTCAATTTTTAAATATTGAAACGTAGTGTTTCATCGAAACAGGTCAGACATATCTCATTAATTTTTTTTTAACGCCAAACTCTGCCAATCCGCTTAATTTATTTTCTTTGGTTCTAAGCAGCTTTATCAAAAGAGTTACAGGTTAACCTGATAGTCTGACATGTCTTTAATAAGAACAACTAATTAATTTTGCAAAAAATGTTTTAAAAAATCGACTAGCATAATTAATTGAAGAATTATTGGAAAAAATATCCATATGTCACCAACCCAGTAATGTACAACCCCATATAGACATTATAAGGTAATGTCTGTGCAACCAATACATTAATGAATAATTATGTCTGCTTGTGTTTGTCACTAGAACACATGTGTGTCCTTGAATAAAATGTTGTTCTAAAACCTAAATCAGTTCATGTATATACACACTTTAGGATGATGACGGGAAGTGTTTAAAATTTGATGTAGGAAGTATTTTTTGTTATGCCTCACAGCGTACATTTTATATCTAAATTGTATCAAGGTTGATTTTCTTTTACATCAGGTAAATATATACCTTGTCATTGTATTTGAAAAATAATTATTGACCTTTTAATCACTTGTTTATTAGAAATATTTTTAATGTGCACATTTTGAACTATTTGTAATTGTAACCTGGATTTTATTGATCGATAGGTTTATCAAAACATATATTTTAAATACGTCCACACTATTTCAAGTAAATAAACTATGTTCCTGTATTAAAAAAAGACATTCTAATTGAGTAGACTCTTGATATATATATTTGCTTGATCTTTTCTTTTATTTAATTTATTTGCTGTGTGACTTTAAAAATACTTTGTTGGATTTTTTATTTGTCACAAACGTTTCTAATTTAAATGACAATACTGATTTTGAATTGAATTGTATTGAAAACTACGATCGTTTTGTAAAAATTTAGACTATATATGATATTCCCCATGAGAACAGATAACATTTGGATAATCGGGAACCGTGAAACAAAGTTAACAAACAACAGAAGATTAAAGGTCTACAAAAACATGCCGGAAATTAGATTTTCAATAGTACGAAACAGTGCACGAACCCTATTGAAAAAACGCAATGAAATCGTATACGTCAGAGGGAAAAACCGTGATTTTCTATTTATGTCTCATGTTTGAATATTATGATTATTCAATGATGAGGAAGTTAGGTATAAAAAGACCGGAATCATATTTTTATAATTTACACAAATGCAAATAAATATGGATATGATATCAAAATAATTGGCTATCATACATAAAAAAAAAGTCCTCTGTTAAATTGAAATATTTGTCATCTTGTTATTTCATTTGTTTATTGATGTTTTGAACGAGAATTATAGACCTGTGATAATGTGCTTGTTGGTGGAATGATATTAAATAAAGACAACAGTAGTATACCGCTGTTCCATAGTCATAAATCGATTTAACTGAAACAAATCCGGGTCACAAACCAAAACTGAGCATATTTACTTGAATGTAAGAGGTAATTGGTTTGGACATTGTTATTGGTTAGTGTTCCCTTTAAATTCAAACAGTATAGACCACTGCGGTCTTAAATGCTTTTCGTAAATTAAAGGCAACAGTTGTTCATTGGCTGATATATCATGTATATCTTTTGATATAACATTTAATGAAGAGAGCTTCCTCACGAAGGACAATCTCGAAAAACTCGTCGTATGTACTAGAGTTACAAAGAGTAAATTTCATGTACGTCGCTTTGAAATGACATAAATTATACTCTTTTCAATTTCGTATTTCTGAACTGAAATAATATCCATAATAATTGTAGAAATCATCATAAATACTGGAATTGAAAAATAAAAACGGAATTAATATAAAGACAGAAAAAAGATAGGATTTACCAAAATCCGCATAATTTTCTCCAGGTGGGAATTTTGTATATTCTCTAAGGTTGGACACCATAAAAAAGTGAGGCATATCCAATGTTATGATTGTGAATCATAAATATGAAATACATTGCTTCGGATTATTATAAACTATAAAGTGCCCCGGAAGTGTTAACAGATTCTGCTCCACATTCGATACCCGCCGTATTAATCCTATAAAATACGTTGATGAGTTATATCATGTGATTAAGCATCACGCAATAGCGGATTGATTATTTACTTTTTTCTAACCCTAAGACATCACCAAATTACTAAACGAACGGTCATGTAAATGTTCTAACCTGAAACTTGACCGAATGTGAAAGTTCATGTACATAAACCTGGTTCATTGACTCTTTGACAAAACAGCTGTCGACTTCAGCAATTGTTCTTAAAGCAAATAAAAAATAACAGGAAACAGAAAACGCATTTGCTTTAAGACTAAAATTAAAAAGATCATTGTGTATGCGCTTAAGATATTTCTTTTCATGCAACATCTATTCACTCTACATTATTTAACTTGTTTTATTAAGCTGTTACGTTCGAAAACATATTGCCTTGGGTTATACTTAGTTAAATAAACCATGTGGTGTCATGTTAAAGGGAGATAATATTTCATTTACGCGACAAAAACAAATATTGGCAAACATCAGCCAAATGTCATGCTTTCTTCAATAGAGGAACGTAATAATCTAATTTCTGGTGAGTGTACATTAATCCCGTGAACTTTACTGTGAAGCGCTTACATCACTTTCATAGATATTTATTTAATTTCTTAAATAGTTGTTAATTATCATTATTGTTATTGATTTTAACTATTATTATTATTATTATTATTTTTTTTTTATTTCATTTTATGAGTATCCATACTATTATCATTAGTACTGTAATTGAGTTTTACCTATTAGTATTTTTTAAATTATTATTATTATTATTATTATTATTATTATTATTGATAATTTTAACTAATACCATTATTATTATATTTAAAAAAAATTCTTCTTTTTATTATTATATGAAGCGTTAAGAAAGACTGGATTAACATGGAACACTGATAATAGGAATATGTAAACGTGCCAGCAAGTATAAAGATGCATCAAGACGAGCCGGTAGAAAATTCCAGTAAAAATGACCAACGTCCATATCAGCACTACTCAAGAGACGTAGTTGAACATTCAGATCACGAAACGAAACAGATATTGAATCGTAGTGTTAAAGCTCATGCAACAGGTAAAATCAAACCAAAAGCCAATTGTCGTTCAAAGGTTCAAACAAGTGTATACGTTAATGATTTATACGAACAACCTGTATGCGAAAGTCCAGTTACTATTGTATCTGGATCAACAGTCCAAGGTTTACAACATTCACTATGGAGGCCTACTGATACACCCACTATAAAATCTCACGCATTTGTGGAAAGCAATTCTTTGCATGACAATAATGGTGGTTTCAATCGACCAGTGGGCAGCAATATGATTCATAACAGTTATTCGTATCACCAAACCGAACCGATTGCATCACACCCATCCTTAGATCAAAGACAAAATCACAATTTCAAAGTTGGTTTAGTGGAAAGCTCTATAAATCATGGATATAGCATGAATAATAGGTGTGGTTATTCTCAAAACATGTTTGTATCAGATAGACACCAATCGAGTCAACGTCTTAATGAATCTCATAAATTTCTAACTGCAAAACAACAATGCTGCGATATGTCAGCCATATGTCAACATAACCAGAGAAAATACGAAACTGCACCTTATATGTCATATACTGATTACCTTATGGAATATTCAAAAGCTTTATGTTGTATGCAGAATAAAATGTTGTTACAAGATGCAGACCGTCGTTCAAAAATAGCTACAATAGATAGAAACGATACGTTATCAACACAAAGTAGATACTATGCTCACTCAAATCAAAGCAAGATTAACAAATTTACTGAACTAGGACGTGTTGATTGTAAAAGGTTGACTGATGCAGCAATACAAACTCATCAGAACGAGGCAAATAACTTAAACAAAAACAGAATATTACAAAACAAACAAGGCTCCCATATTATTTTACATTCAGGTGGGTTGCCTGATAGATCATACATGTTTCAAGATAACACTCATGTGATGCCACATAATCAAACGATGAGCAGAGAAAAGAAAGGCCAATTAATTCAAGAAGGACAATTCGTGACTAGTGTACAGCAAGACAAGGATACAGTAAATTCAATAAAAGATTCATATCCAAGGAATGTACAACACGTAGGACCTAAATGTACCACCAGTTCATCTCATTACCCATCAATATGTCCTTTATACACACGCAATGAAAAAGAAAATAAATACGGAAGCAAAAGTCAGATTAAAAGTTATGAAATGTGTACAGGAACCAAAAGTTCATATGATAAGGAAAAGATGGAGAATATAAACAGTATATCTGGGGAAAGAAACGAAAATTACACTCGCATAAATACTATTGCTACAGTGATGCAAAATGGCGTAGATGACCATTCTTCAAGTAATTTGAAATATAGAAAATCAGCTGTGACTTCAGTAATGTACCAGACGGTACGCGAAAAACAATTTTCGCCAAAGCAAAGAATGCTTCAAAAGTTTCAACATGACATAAAAAGTCCAAATACATTTGCGAGAGAAATAGATGACACAGATGAAGACATCTCCAAGGAAAATACATTTCAGCATCAGATGACAGTTAAGCATTTGCAAACAAACGACCAGTTAAATAGCTCTAATTCAATATGTTTACCTAACGCAATAAGAGAGACTAAAAATTGTAAAGGAAAGCTAATAGGAGGTTCAAATTATTTAACTCTAGATGCGAATGTTGGAGGTAATTCACTAAATGATGAGCTTGACGAATCATGCGCATCAAGCAATGAAATGATTACAACAGAGAGACTTACAGTGAAGCAAAATGAAACAAAAACATATGAAAATGACAGCAATGAGAACACTGAAAAACGAACACAAAAGAGACAAGAAGGAGATATGAAGGATTCAAAAATTGAAAAAGTTACTTTTAATTCAAAATTTGACGATAATATTAAAATTTCGTCAGACTCAAATCCAGAAACGGGTTTACGCAACTGGTCACTGATTCAAAAAACTGATCCGACTTCAAAATGTGATGATGTCGAAATCAAAAAGCAACACTTGATCACAAAGCCAGAGGATCAGCTGATTACGTTGACACAAAAATCAGAAATTATGAGTGAAGGTTCCGTGAAACCGATCTATGAAACATTAAAAGATGGTTGCACAAAAGTATCCGAAAATAATAGTACACAGAAACTTTCATCTTCGTCAACTAAGACACAGGAAATTGATGTGGATTCATCCGTTACCGAAGCAGTATTAACTGGAAACCAAATGAATAGAAACAAAGAATCAACAACTGCTATTGTCGACGAAACTATTTCTGCGACCCCTGATGAAACATTGTTAGATTCATATACTGTAGAAGAATCGTTGCTTCTGGAGTCAGTACCTTTGTGTGACTCAATCTCCTTATCTTTAAACCCAACCGTAAATGAATGGTCTGACGTACCAATAACTGTAGGCGAATCGGTTTCTGACATTTTTATTCAGTCCGACAAAAGTGATGTGGTGAATTCGGATACTTGTCCAAACAAAGAGACTGAAGTGATAGAATCTAATTCCGCTATAGAATATACAGTTTCGAAAAAGGATGGAGCGGTTGAAGTAGGTGAATTAAATATTAATGATTCACAACAAATAGACAATCATATCAAATATTATATTATTGAAAATGAAAATATTGATGACAAAGATGATAATAAAAAAATTATTTCCATTCAACACCAGCTTTCGTCAGCAAATAACGAATTGGACACAACAACCGAAACAATAGCCAGTGATATTGGCTCAGTAGTTAAAACTGATCAAGTATCCTTAGAAAACAAAAGTGTATTTAATACAATCTCAACATTTCACGAATCAAACAAAGATCTGCCGAAATCTGCTGACGGTGCTGAAAATGTAGGCAACAATGAATACGAAAAAAACGAATCTAAAAGAGAATGTGTTGTTCATGACAATGGTTATGAATTGCTTTTAGAAACAAAACCTTCAGAAAAGCCTATTGATGGGTTTCAAAATATTTCTTTACAGACAGAAATTGTAAACGTTTGCACCGATGGGCAGGTCGGGGATGACTCGTTTTTTGACTGCATAGAAACAGAAGAAAGCTCTTTTTACCGTACATGTGTTGATGAGGAAGAACCTGAGAAAACTGATATCGTGTTTCAAAATCTTGCCGCGCAGTCTACTTTTACCAATGAACAAGATTGTTATTTGTTAGATGCAAAGATAGATAAACATTCGTCAGATCATGAATGTTTTAAATCGCTAGAGGAAACCATCGTGCAGCATTTAAATAAGAGTATCGAAATAATTAGTCAAAGTCCACCTCAAACCGTTGATTCAACAAATATTATGCAAATACAGAAAAATTTAGAATGTTTCAATCAGCGAATTCAATCTGCACCAAATGATGAGCTTCCTTTATCACATTCTCGTAAAGTTATTTGGGATATTTTGCAGCTATGCGGTTCATGTATGATAGTCTCACAAGTAGCACTCGATCGTTTAAAATCATTGGTTGGTCAAACAGTAAAAAATCAACTCGGGTTTTACCCTGATATGTTTATCGATACTTTAACTATATTGTTTAAGCAAGCATCAATCGCCTCAACCATGGCGTCAAATATCAGTGACGACCTGTTCTTTGAACTTTCAGGCGACAATAGTGATAATGATTCACCTATAGCAACAGAGAAGCCTCTTTCTACATATAATACACCAACACTATCAAATGGCGAATCTCGTGACAATAGTGATAATGATTCACCTATAGCAACAGAAAAACCTCTTCCTACAGATAATACACCAACGCTACCAAATGGCGAATCTCGTGACAATAGTGATAATGATTCACATATAGCAACAGAGAAACCTCTTCCTACAGATAATACATCAACAATGCCGAATGGCGAATCTCGTGACAATAGTGATAATGATTCACTTATAGCAACAGAGAAACCTCTACCTACAGATAATACACCAACAATACCGAATGGCGAATCTCGTGACAATAGTGATAATGATGCACCCATAGCAACAGAGAAACCTCCTCCTATAGATAGTACACCAACACTACCAAATGGCGAATATCATGACAATAGTGAAATATTATCAGAACAAGGAAATTCAATTAATCAGCATGAAATATCATCTGTATGTGCAAAAGAAGGAACGAAATCGTATGAAAACAACAAGCTACCTTGTTTTAATAGCAATGAGGTTACAATATCTGCTACCGAATTTTCAGAAAAGCACCAAAATCCTGAACTTGAATGTGAAGATGAATATGTCGATAGTCAAAGTCCAAATGGAACATTAATATCGTTAACAAACACTAAAGATCAGCTTGATTTGATGAATAGTGAAACTAGACAAAGGCCAAATAGAACAAACATCTCATTTCTAAACACAAAAGATCACACTGATTTGACAAATGATGAAGCGATTTTAGATAATCATTTGAATAAAGAAAAACGATATGAATCAACAAAGGACAATGTAAAACCGGCAGAACTTTTAACTTTTGAAGGACAAAAGGATAGTACAGCAGAAGTAAAAGCAGATAGAAATACGATGTTTACCTATCGTAATGAATATTTTGAATACAAAAGAAAACGAAAAATCAAAAGACTTAGCGAGACAACAATACATAGAAGCCGACAGCCGAAAAGAGATTTCTATTGCAAAAGACGACCAAGATCATCAAACTTCGGAAATTCAAAGTCCTGTCGTAAATTAAAGAAAGATTTATTTGAATTAGGCTCATCGGAAATTTTCCATGGAATTAAAGTTCCAAGTTCTATAGTACTGAACTACAACGAAGCTAGTCAATTCTGTTGCCATGTTGTCTTAACAAGAACTCCAGTTACTCATACAAAGTTGGTTTCACATGACCGGAAACGGTCAATCTGTAATCAACAGAAATCAAATGCAGACAAATGGAGAGAGTCCAATAAACATGCTAACCTTGCAAAACATGAAAGGTGCTTGAATAGAAGTTCATCAGATAGTAATTTGATAAGCAAATTCCTTGAAAATAGTTATAAAGGCAATGAATATTTTAAGTCATTTCAATCAAAATCAGAAAATAGTATGAAAGTTGGACAAGCATTGACTTCCACGAATGTTACTGAAAAAACCCACACCGTTAATAGTATAGAAAATCAATCAAATGAACGATCAGCATCAGCAAATGAAACGGAAAGAATATTCCATGACGATTGCGAAAAATCTAAACGGAAAGAACACGAAATTGAGCAAAATATATGTCAAAGCTACTCAATAAATAGTAAGGATAACTCTTATTCATTACATAACTGTTCATCTGAAAATATATTACCAGAAAATTCAAGTCCAAAAACAGAATATGAAATTGTCAAAAAAAATCCTGTACTCGATTGTGTTGTTAAAACTAACTCAGAGAATAGAGAATCTCGTTCTCACCCAAAATTAGTACCGGAATTATATCTTAGAAAAGTTATGAACAAAATTTCAAGATCTGAAAATATTAATGACAGCAATGTGAACTCCAATAAAACGTACGAAGAGAAATATTTTACGAATGACGAACCAAAATCAACTGAAAATAGTTCATATTTGGGCCTTTCTCCCAAAGTAAATGTAGATGTCGTGCAAAATGATAAATCTAGTGTTCAGTACGAAGTGTTGCAGGAAGAGAAAAAAAGTGTCGGTAATAAGGAAAATGAGAAATCACATGCTAAGAACTATAAACACAGTAATACATTGCCAGGGAAACCAATATCTAAGGAGAGTATTCGTTCACACAGAAAACTATCATTTGAAGAAGAAATATCTAGGCTTGATTTTCCTAATTCTAGAAAAAAGTATGTAAAGGGGAAAACATCTGATAAAGGCAATGGCGTGCTTCCGTGGGAAAATGCAAAATGTTCAGAAGAAAGGATGAGAATGAATGGAGATAGTCACACATTTGCAAAGGGTGATTATATAACTAATAAAATCAGTGCTTGTGAACGACAAAATCAGAATTCAGCAACAGACTCACACAGTATCAACAAAAGTAGCACACATGAAAACTGCAAAAATGAGGATGTCATACACAAAACTTCTGCACATTTGGTAACAAATTTAAAGGATGCCATGAATGACCAAAGACACAAAACAAGAAATCATAAAAAGACAACTAAACCTTCAAATGACAAAGAAATGGTCACACGTACAACAGTCAAGCAGGCGTCTTGTCCTCAAGATCATTTTGAAAAGATGAGGATGTCTTTGGAAAAAAAATTAGGCAGTGACTTACCAAAATGTCAGAATCAAAGTTTTGTTAAGGGGCTTGTGACAAGTTTGCGAAAGAAGTTATGTAACCAAACACCCATTAAACCTAACAAAGTGAATACACAGTCTTCTCGAAACGACAGCGATAGCTCTGCACAATTATTCTGTAGAACACAGTTAAAACGCAAACTTTCGGGTACGACAGACCAATTGTCTCTCAATATACAGACAATAAAGGATATTGATAAAAAATACAAAAATGAAGACCAAAACGAGCATATAGTAGCACAGGATAGTAAGGCAGATAATTCAAATGGTACTATTAAAAAAAGTCAAATACAAGAGAACATTGAAGACAATGCCAATATGAAACAGCGACATGATCATGTAACGAAGAATAGAAAGAGGGATGATAAACAAATTAAAGTTCAGTTATCTTGCAAGGAAAGAAAAGACTCCAGACCAAATGCTACACAAAAATTAAAAATGCAAAAGTCGACAAAGCGGTTATCTTCAGAGCGTATTTCAGCAAGTGAGGGTAGCCCTACCAAAAAATATAAGACATATAATAAAGTGAAGCAAATGTGTCAAAATGAAAGCAAAGGCAAACAAAAGCATAAATCACAGAGGCAACATGAAAACCTTTCACTTGGCAATTCAAAATCTAGAATGACTATTGAAAAAGTAGAAGCAAACAAACAATTTGAAAATCAAGTTTGCCAACGTACTGTTCAAAGAGTATTTCATGATCAGAAAGGAGAAAGACGAAACAGTCGTCAAAAACAAGCACCGAATGAAAAGCCTAACGAAACAAATAAATTACAAGAAGATGTTGGCAATACCATAAACGTGAATTTAAAACATATTGACGAACATTCACGATATATATCAACGAAACAAGAGGATGAGATTTCTAGGATTGGAAAATGGTCGAAGCTGTCAGATATTTACAATGTCCAGCCGTTAGAAACAAGTGACGAAGAGGAAGACCATACAGGTAATAGAACACGAATACTATAATGGAAAGTTCTGACATTTTATAAATAATTTACAAATGAAAAGTCCCTTAGTCTTTCTCAAACTAACATTGATTGATTGATAATAATAATGATAAATAATTTATTCCAAAAGCAAATACAGTTTATATGATAATATGTAATGTTAGATATTTTTTTTTATAAAGGCACCATAATTACACAAACAGTTATATATATCTTTTAATGGAAAACAACATTGTTAGAACAAGTAAATTTTACAAAGTACAATAATCAATATAACGCAGAGCATGATATGCATATACTTGTACATGGCAATATAATTATACATGTTTCAATAAATTAATCATCGATGATCGCATCAATGCACCTTACATAATTTATGTGTTTTAAAACATCTTTTAATTGATTCCTTCCTTTCTTCTATAACGTTCTAGTTTTATTGCATTGTTAATAATATTCATTCTCATCACAAATTTATTATAGTAGAACCGTTTATTAAAACAAAAATGTGAATTAACAGCATTGCAATGTGTATGCATTCAGTGAACTACCGCTTCAATATCATGAAACCATCGCAATCTAACATACCCCAACATGCTTTTTTTTAAGAAAATTGAATTTTAACATGCTAAATCGCAATCAAATTTGATAAAAGCGCTTAGATGTGTTTTTTTTTAACTGGGTGTCGAAATAAGACTATAAAGTCTAACAGTAAGTTAAGGAGGTCTGGAAATATCAAACTTGATACAAATCACAGTTGCTTCGAAACATTATTTTATAAAAATGCGTGTCGAACACATGGTAAAAATGAACCATGTTTTCCAGTGAAATGTTAGTCACCTTTCATAAGTATAATTTTGTTTTTAAAGCAGATACCAGCATTTTGTTTTCACCAATTCGATTTCACACCGAATCAGGCGATGATTTGCCGTCTTTAAGTCTTCCTTCTAAGAAGTGGAAAAACAACAGGCACATTGCTAAAAGATGTCACAGAGTTGATATGAATACCCACAAAGAAATTCAGAAAATTTTACGAGGTTAAATTTTTCTCTTTTTTAATGTTGTGATTTGTGTTCTATTTTTCATTACTTTATTCTTTTTTTTTCCATCTTTTAACTGCTGGACATACTTATGAACATTCAAAAAAGGAATATTAGTTAAGTTGAACAATATATTAGATGTTTATTTGCGTGTAACTGAATTATTATGAAACAAATGAAATCATTCTGACCTTTTTTTCATCTTTGAGCCTTTTCAATTTATTTCGAATTCAAATTCAAACAAAATGACACTAAAATTTGTTTATGAAATTAAATATATTTGATAAAAAGCACTAAATATGTTTTCAGTTCTTACAACAAAATTTGCTTACCACAGATTTGGTTCTGATTATATCTTAGCACTCGTGAGTTCTTTTGAAAGACGTCTAAGTTGATTACGGTGAAAAAAAGGATAATATTCATCTGCGCACATCTATATAAAATAAGGGGATGTGATATAATAGCCAATAAGACAACTATTTACCAGAAACCAAAGAACGAGAATTTAAACAACTACAGGTCACCGTACAGCCTTGAATGATTTGAAACACAATACCTTATAGTACTGAGTACTATGATACGACCGACATGACAAAATGGGAAACAATTCAAAGAGGAAACCAACGACCTGATTTATACTATAAAGAATACACGTAAAATAGTGATGACAAACAGCAACCAACGACAACTACTAGACAATTACAGACATGTGACTTAGGACAGTCACATAACGAATATGGGGATGTAAAAATGTTTGTAAACGCTATACCCTCACCCTAACCTGTGACAGTGGTGTAACATTACAACATAAGAATGAACTATAAAAATCAGTAGGAAAGAGCTTTACTAATCAGATCGATACCCTGCCGACACATCCGATCTCGCACCGCTTTAATTGCGATTCCCTCCTTTTAAAATCTCTACTAAGTTTGGAATACATTAGGAGTATTGAACAGCTGTATACTGCTGTTGTCGTTTACTACGCACAAACAAAAACAACGTACAGAAGGAAAACTGACGCAAATTGCATATATACGATTTCTCTGTTCTCTAGGTGCACAATAAATAATTTTGATAACACAAAAACTGTAATGTGATTCTTAGCTAGAATACAACTATGTAATCTGCAATACTATATTTTTGCAAATCATATAACAGTTTGCAGAATAATTCACTCTGTTTGATCTTAAAAATATAGGGGTATTAAATGGAAATAACACTTTATAAATTCCGAGGCGCTTTTCTTGATTGTAAGCTTAAATTTTCAGTGTTGTTTTCTATCTTATCATCGCATCTGTGTCTTTGTCTGCTCAGCTAGAGGTGAAACTTAATGCTTTTACCATTATGCTGTTGGTATCTTATTTAATTGCTTTAAATAGCTAAGCTTTAAATTTCTTAGAGCCAATAAAATTTCTAAAGCAAAATATTAACAGGAATCTAGTCAAAATTTCAAGTATATCACACCAATGTTTAGGGTCATTGGCTACTTTTTCTGCTAATATCCATCTTTGTATGAGTTGTTTGTGTCTTGTGAAGAGTATCTTAGTTTATTGTTCATATTTGTTGTCTTTTTTTTATTATACAAAACACTGTTAAAAAATCATTTATTAATATTTTGATTGAATACCAGTTATATATAATAATAATGACATTGACTTATATTTCAATATTCGTGTAATTGAACTGATATAAACCAAACAAAACATTACTTTTCAAGTGGATATCTTTTGAAAATGAACAATTTCTCTATTTGCCTGATCTTTCATAATTCCACATACGTTTTCGTAAGTTCAATGTTTTATTAACAATATGGAAAACAAAATTACATTTGATAAGATATTTTTATATAATATCATGTTTGATTTTTGATATATATCTTATTTTCCAGAGGTGGTGCCTTCGACTTGTAACGATCGAAAAAATAATGATGCCGATGATGACGACGATGACGCTAAAACAGTTACCGATTTTAGTTACTTAGAACCAAAACAGAAAATCAAACTAAAGAAAAGATGGAATAAAATTTGTCTTACAAACAAGAAATCTCAAATATACTCGCCTCAGGAATATTTGATGGCTGCAGGAAGCAGTGTAAATGAACAAGTCGATGAGAAGGATTTGCAATTAAATTTTCCAGGGAAAAATTTAAAAGAACCCTATTCAAGGAATAACCCGTCGTCAAAGTGTATAGAAAGCAACGTAAAGAACCACTCTATTAACAGTGGTGTTTTGTCAAGCTGTGAAGAAATAGGCAGTAAAGAGCAGTCCATCGAGATTGATTTACCTTTAAACTGTGCGGAAGTCATCACTAAAGGACAGTCTTGTAAGAATGGTTTACAAACACAGTGTTTATCAAAGAAAAAAGGAATTGATCTTATTACATCTGAACGAGAAGTCATACCTACTTACAGAAAGAGAGGGCTTGTATGTGTACAGGTAAAATTGTCTAATGCTTGTCAACTTAAAAATGGTTATAAGAATATTATAAGTAGTCTTGGTTTTATTAATAACATATAGGCAGGTTTCTCCGACATCAAGATTAATACCACACACACTCTGGGTTTTCTAGTGCAAAAACTTTTATACAAATGCATCTTTTTCCACTTAATTTTCACTGAAAAATGGTATAGTATTCAGAAAGTTTCAAAACGCCTAAAATACGGCTTGAGTAGGAAATATCAGATATAAATCTGATCCATTTTAGAAATACACAACAATCGCATCTAATGAAATTTATACATGCTAAAGCGAGAGGCTACAAATATTTAGAACGATCCATAAATATAAACCACTTCGCTGCGCTCACTCGACAGAAAGCTTCATACTGTGACTCGCAGCTGATAGTTTACAATATCACTATGCAGACAACCTGATAATCGGTACGTATTTGTTTGGAAAATTCAATTTTTTTGGGGTGCTAAAGTATAAAGAAACAAGTCAAAAGAACCAAATTATATCATTAACGGCACCAAATTTACTGCACCAGATGCGCATTTCGACAATTAATGTCTCTTAAGTTATGCAAAAATATTTGAAAATCGAAACCTAATTCAAATGTTCTAGAGCTGATAAAACAAAACAAAACAGAACAAAAAGTAAATCCACGAGGAAGATAATACCAAATATAATTTCAAATGATTTCCAACATTTTATAAGTCAATTCTTATTAAACAAATATCGATACTTTCATGCCAAGATCGAATTTTTGGCTATTGTGTTATCGTTGGTGATATCGTCGGGGACTAATAGTCCTCTACCAAAGTTATCGATCCGGCGGTAGTAATACCACTAACGGTACCAATTGTTACTCCAACAGATAAACCTTTTGTCAATTAAGGTAAACAAATGTAATTCTTTTCTTATAAACTATTCTGACTCAAAGCTGACCAGTTTTTGTTCCTACTCACTGAAACTATTTGCTGGATTGAGATGAAACACATCTTCTACTTTCGGTAGTATGATTATTATTAAAATTAGCTGAAAAGTAGTTCTACGTGATAAACATTGAATACGTTAAAAGATTCCAGGCGCAATGATTTCACGAATGATATTCAGAAACAGGTATTGCTTGAGTAGAGAATACCAAAAGATAATTTTAAGCCTGGTATCTATGATTAGTTAATTTACAATAGAATACAAAATTTATATCTTTTACTTGCAGGAATGTTTTACTGTGTTAGACAAAGTTTATAACCACAAGCTAAGTGAACCTTTCCGTCAGGAGGTTAAATCTAAAGATGTAAGATAATGTATACAGTGCTCTCGTTTCTTTAGTTCTGGTATTGTGTATGAGACGTTGAAATAATGAAAACGAGGCTTATGTGAATGAGAAGTGTTTCAAATCTGGGAACCCCACTGAAGCAATATTAAATACATATTCAATCATATACATGAAAATATTGTGGAATACGACGATTTTTCCATGTTAATCAATGAACTCTTCTGTGAAAACATATTAAAGTAGTACACGATACTTATTCAATTCGAAGCATGATATGCGTATTTTTCTTCTATCAACGATGATACAAGTAATCAAATATTGAAAATCCAAATGGTTGAAGAGCAATAATACTAAAATCGAAGCTAAATCCAACTTAATAACTTCTGTGTATCTAAGAAAAATATCCATAGAAAGAGCAATTCCCCAGCATCAGTTTTTGGTAATGCATTTATACGCTAACACAGTCTATGGATATTTTCACTGAAATTGTAATCAATAGAAAGATTGAATATCGTCAGTGTTTTACATATCAAAGAAGACACACTAGAACTTCCAACTTGTATTCAATTTACCGAAAACAATCTTTTTATACTTTCTATAAGCAGATGTTACTTTTGTCACAGGGTTGTAAATAATTTGATTTTCATCATATTTCAATGATGATATTTTGATTGAAGTCATCGGATCATTTAACAATTCACCAGTTTACGTTATCGCCTTGATTAGATTTTTATCATATAGATAAAAATACATCTATATGAATAATAACTTTATTTTGTTTATCTCCTCTGAACATCTGACATTGATTGATTATGTTAATTTCTTCATTGCAAACAGCTTGCATTTTAAATGAAATGTTACAAACGAAACAATTTGATATGTTTAAGTTGATTAGCATTATCTTATTTTTAGGTCTCCCAAACGAAGTTTGGGAAGACTTATTGTTTTTGCTCAGTTCTTATTATTATTATTATTATTATTATTATTCCTCTTCCTCTTCCTCTTCCGCCGCTTTTAAATTTGAACTTGTCCGCACCCGTTCTCCAAAACCGCTTGTCAGATTAACTTAGGGTTTCACAATATGTTAGACTAACATGTCTAGTGGTGCAATCAGGGTTTTGTTTGTGCAATGGGGTTTATAAAGGGGTACTTTGAGGGGCAAAAAGAAAAGAGGGTTTTACTATAGAACCCTATGGGATTTTATTTTTTTAAATTTTCAAATGATCATAAATTGAAAACCGTTTGTGATAGACACAATCTTTTTAATTGAAAATGTTTTAAATGATAAAACCCATTAAATGAAATACAGGGTTAGTCCCCAGGGGTCATCCCGACCCCCTGCCATTTGAGAAAGTTCTAATATCTTGTAAATGGTCGAGATCCCAAACCCCTAAACCATATATATTCTGGTTTGTCATGATAAAGCAAATCAAATGAAATACAGGGTTAGTCCCCAGGGGTCACCCCAACCCTATGCCCTTTAAGAAAGTTCTAATATCTTGTAAGTGGTCAAGATCCCCACCCCTAAACCATATATATTCTAGTTTGTCATGCTAAGATGGTTTAAATGATATACTGGGTTAGTCCCCAGGGGTCATCCCGACCCCCTGTCATTTGAGAAAGTTCTAATATCTTGTAAATGGTCGAGATCCCCACCCCTAAACCATATATATTCTGGTTTGTCATGATAAAGCACATGAAATGAAATACAGGGTTAGTCCCCAGGGTCACCCCCACTGCATGCCATTTAAGAAAGTTCTAATATCTTGTAAGTGGTCAAGATCCCCACCCCTAAACCATATATATTCTGGTTTTTCATGCTAAGATGGTTTGAATGATATATAGGGTTAGTCCCCAGGGGTCATCCCGACCCCCTGCCATTTGAGAAAGTTCTAATATCTTGTAAATGGTCGAGATCCCCACCCCTAAAACATATATATTCTGGTTTGTCATGCCAAGATGATTTGAATGATATACAGGGTTAGTCCCCCGGCATCACTAATGCATATAACTTTACTGGACCAAACCAATTTTCACTGGACTTTGCCCAATGTCAGGCGACCCTGGGAATTACGAATTATGGGAGCTTCGTTTGGGAGACTTCGTAACAGCATCCTGTTACAATCATTTCTTGTAATTTTTATCATTATCATTAATAATAATACTATTATTATTATTATTATTATTATTACATTCACTTATTTGCAGAAAAATCGTGAATTGAATCCCCTGTATTTATGTCCTAATCATATATATGAATCAACAAAAGAAACAATACAAGGCAAAGCTTTTTCAATATATAACAAATTTGGATACACGATAACAAATAAAAAAATCAGCAAATTGATCAAATGTTTGCAGAGTTGTTCATTTAAACAATCGATTTTAGGCGAACAAAAAATGATTATCCGCACTTTTATTGATTGACAAGAGATATTTTTAACACAAAATTTAAAAAAAAACAACAATATTTTAACGTACAATTTAAAAAGTCAACATTGTCTGATAAAATTCTCCTCTCCAAAATTTGGTTGCTGTTTTGTTGTAATAATTTTCCGTAGGATATTGACACTTTTGAGTATTCCATTATTGCACTTCACTCAGTCTCTTTGGAGCATCTAGTTTTGTCGAAAGATGATTAACTTTAGTAAACTATATTTAATTTGAAGGTACCTGACTACTATAAAATTATAAAGAGAGGAATGTGCTACGACATGGTTGCTCATAAGTTACGTAATGGTTTCTACAGTCAGGTGGAGGAATTTGTCGATGACATGAGATTAGTTTATAGTAACTGCTACCAGTTCCATGAGGTAATACTTTTAAAGAACTGGCATGAGAAATGGTTTTTATTTGAAATTCTATCTTCATTGTTTGGTCATATATTGCGCTTTTTATCTTTGGTGGAGGGTAGTGGAGCAAGTGTGTAAAATGTTCGAAAATTTTAAAACAAAGGCATGCTAAAAAAAAACGACCCGAATATGCATTGATTTTGATGAATTTCATCAATTGCATTTAGATCCTAAGATAAGATGAAGTCTATAAAGCTTTGAAATTTATAAATTACATACATTAAAATAGCTCTTCAAATATACCGGGATTATAATTTGTACGACGCTCGAATCAAAACAGTTAAAAAGTCATATAATCAACAAAATATATTGTTATTCTGTTTTTAAAACAAAACCCAAAATATTACTATGTACGTTTGATCTATGATAGCATGGATACATAATGGTTTAGTCTTTGTAACAAAACTCGTAGTTGATTTAGTTATACCTGAGCTGGCTGTGTCTTTGTCATTGTCCAATGCATGCAACATGCGTGTTCATAGAAAATCAATTAATTATCTTTTATTCACCCTTTTTTGTAGAAAAATAGTGAAATATATATGGCTGGAGTTGAAATGGAAGCCTTCTTTGACAAAAAGATGTTAGAAACCTTTCCGTCCTTCAAAATGTCCATGTGATTACCTAGCAATATAAGAGATCTAAATCGAGCAGTATTTTAACGGTTTTAATACAAAATTATCAGCTGATAACAATGTATTTTTTTGTAATATTTTATGTCATTTTTTTTATATCATTAGAAAAATAATGCACTAACTATATGTAAGCAAGCAGGAAACATTTTAAGTGACTTTTTTTTCTAAAAAGGATGAATTTAGCAATAGAAACTTCCTGTTTAATGTATTGTTTTTATATTTTTTTGGTTTTTTGTTAAATATTTATTTAAACAAAAGGCTTATGATGAGTACTTGTTGAGATCAAGTACTTCCGGTTTCCTGTAGGGAAGTATTAATATAAGTATTATAATTCATATGCAAAGGCTAAAATTCACGTCATATTTTTTATCTAAAATATCGAATAAATGAATACAAAATATCCCATTATTTGTGCAAAGTTACATGTGTAAGTATTGTCAATAATTTCACAGTATCAATTTAGAAAGATGTTCTTGTTGACTTACAATAGTGTTTTAAGCCAGGAAGTTTTTTTGGTGCTCAGCAGTCAGCATACTTGCTGTAACAATAGTAAAAAAAGTCATTCTTTCTGGTCCAAAAAGTAAAAACGGTTATTGCAAGCATGTTGTAAAATGAAAGAGCATCGTCGGCTGCTGTTTGCAGGTTATAGCTAAAAATGACCGCGAAGTAAAAACAATCATAAACTGCTCATCATAGTATCCGTTACGTATTTTTCTTTTATGAAGTTAGATGTACAATTTGTTTAATTCGATGTCACATACCAGTTTGATGTTTCATGTAAATTGTCTTCTAATTCACTAACATTTGTATTTATCAGGTATAGCAGATTATGATTAGTCGATCTTTATGTGTGTTGAAATTGATAGGGATTCCAGGGGTTGAAACAACTACTTTTAAGTTAAATAAAATTCGGCGAAAGTTAATTTTGACTCCATATTTTTAGATTTGACCCTTAAAAATGCTTGATACGTGCTTGCTGTCACTTATGTCTCTTTCTATTTGAAAAAATGATGTTGATTTCAGATCTCCTGATTTCTTTTGAACTGATTTGATTGGTATCTTTCGTTGCTATTTAGAGCTTGTTATATTGTGGGCTCTCGTCCTTCTTTGAAAACCTATATATATTCAACTATAAGTAAACTTTCGTTGTTGGAATGCTGTCGCAGTGTTTTTGTTTTGTTTGTTTTTTGTTTGTGTATTCATTTTAATGTAGATAAGATGTATATTTTTTATCTATCATAGGTTGTATAGTGTCCCAACATATTTCATCCCATTTTAAAGTTTGATGACTGATACAAATATATGCATGTTTATATTTGAAAGTGCTCAGAAACATTTACACTGTAAAAAAAGTGCTCAATTTTTGTACATAGATCTCAAATGTGCCTAAATGTATTTTGATATTCATTAATATTGTAAATATTGTTGAAATAATGGTTAATTAATATGTTTCTTTGTTCTTTTTTTATTTTTAAGTGAAATTTAGTATTTATATATTTTTAGTATGGAATCGTTATATTGATTTTTGATTATGAAGAATTTTATAGTTACAAAGTGTTTCTTGAAAAGTTTTCGTTATACTGTTAAAAAAAAGGCAGTATGAAGATACTTTAACAATTATTTTTTTTAATTACTCTTTCAGACAAATACATGATATTATGGACATACATGGAAATGGTGTCTTTCGTTTTTCATTAAGTCATCGGTTTTAAAATAAATGGTTTTTCTATTTTTCACTTGTAAAATATTTTATCAAAAAAAAGTTCATTGGGACATCATTACAAAAATTTGTGACATACTTTAAGCTTGTGTCCTGACATTATCTATTTATTTAAATTTTAAAACAGGAAGTTCCATTTTTTTTTTCAACAGGAAAATAATAAGAAGAAAAGGATTTTATCAAAATATGGTTAAGATTGAATATTTTTCGCGCATTACTGAAATGATAATTGTAGCTTATTAATTATATACTAATTGTTACCTAATCTAACCTGAAATCTTAACGAATTTTAATTGTTAGTGTGTGCCTTAATATTAATTGTTACAGATGAAAATCTAACAAACATTTTCTGTGATACCAGTTTGCCTTTCTGATTTTGTATTTTTGCAATGTTTCTTTACATTTAACATTCCCTTTTAGTAATGATTTAAAAATCATTTTATAAGGATATAGATTATTTAGTTGTTGTTTGACATTGTTACTAGTTTTCTTGTGTCGAAGACGGCAGTCCTAACTTCGAATTTATCAGCTAATGTGTTTTTACATTATCCCCATTCACTCCAACTTTTCCCTTTCATGATCATATGTAATCCGAAGGCAAAGTAAAATTTGCCACTAGTCATTCATGTATAATAGCCGAATAACGAATGTTGAATGAAAATATGTAACTAAGATTTGTTTTTACTTTAAAAGACATGATTAGATTCTATAAAAAGGTGAAGTAAACAACAAAGTAAGGTTTTAAAAACTACCAGCTGGCTTAAAATAAAGGCAACAGTAGTATACCGCTGTTCGAAAACTCATAAATCGATAGAGATAAAAACAAATCCGGGTTACAAACTAAAACTGAGGGAAACGCATCAAATATAAGAGGAGAACAACGACACAACAAAAACACAACATTAAAATGTAACACACACAGAAACGAACTATAATATAACAATGGCCATTTTCCTGACTTGGTACAGGACATTTTAAGAAAAAAAATGGTGGGTTGAACCTGGTTTTGTGGCATGCCAAACCTCCCTTAAAAAAGACAAAAACAGCTGACATTTTAAATTTTTTGATTTCAATTGAAAAAAAAACAATAGCGCATTTCCGTGATATTGATAAAATAGTAATCCAGCATCGTAATTTTCAAATTCAGCTGTGTGTGTGTGTGTGTGTTGTTCATCTGGCTAATATCTGTTTTTAGTACAAAATAGTTTAAAAACTAAATCCAAAATTTACAAATTTTTAACACAAAGGTTGTGTCATATGAAATCATCGAGTATCACAAGTCACAACAATTTGACCTATGCATACCTGTCAACTGACCCGGATCCTGCGGGTGTGACACGAGATTTTCACAATTCTGAGGGGTCACCCGGAACATCCGCCGGGTAACCAAATAACCCGGGAATTCGGAAAATAACCTATTTTCACTCGGATTCCTAAATATAAGCCTTCAGACTGATTAGATATAAAGTGATTTCTATGAAATACCGGTAAATTCGTAATTCTTCCTGGACAAGTAGTTCAACTAGCTGTGTAAACTCAGCTCAAGTGACCCATTTCAGTGCATGGCTTCACTTGACAGCTTTGGTGTCAAACACACTGTTAATTAACACCAATTACCTTAGCTTTATGTCGTAAATAATTTGTGTATTTCAAAACAATTTGAGTTACTTCCCCTTTTTTTCAATTCACAATATACTCCTTAAACTTATGTTTTTTTTTTAAAAGATTCAATCTAAAATGAATTAAATGCAAAAACATATCAGAATAATACTTTTACTTATTGTTCTACCTTAGAACAATTAAAAAATTAAAAAATTGAAAATTACTTTTTTCATCTATACCTCCTTTAATTGTTTAACTTTATTTTATTATACTCTAATATCAACATCTGATATGGTCCATTGTTTAAAAGTTGCACAAATGTACATGCAAAGAAAACACAAATTGGCACATTGTATGTCATGGAATGAATGTGAACAGGAATAAAGGCAATGTAACACAAATCTATCAATGGCCTCCAAGTGCAAGAAATAATAATATGTACAATTTTGAATTACTTGACCATGTGGATATGTTTTGGAAACTTTGATATAAATTATAAGAAAAATGTCCCCTAAATACTGAAATTCAGCTCGAAAAACTTCGTACGCGTTATGACCTGAGATTTCATTCTTCTATGCAGGTCATCACCTGCATTTTCATTGTCATAGGTCGACAGGTATGACCTATGCCTCTAAGTTTTATTGTTATTTTCTTTTTAATTCTTTTAGTGTAAATCTTTTTCCCTCTGCATATCGTTTGATGTTTTTTGCATGTTCATTGTTATTCAATGCAGTAGCTGCAGCGATGCCTTTACAATGATATTTTTTTACATTCCTGTTTGTATTTTGTGGTATTTCAAATAAAATTATTTATGCATAAAAGTTGTAAAATATATTTTATACATGCATTTCAAATCCTTACCATTCTTTATTCATAACATGAAACTGCCTTACCATCATGATTGAACAGGATCTTTCAGCTAAAATGTTTTTTGTGTAAATTATTCATATTCCCTGAGATCGTGATGTGACAGCTTATAATGATCAATGATACCTGGATAAAAGTAGTTTCAATAATCAGCACTGACATTGTTTTTTTTCTTTAAAAAAGTATGACTTCATCAAAGGAAAAGCTAGTTTTTCTCCCTTGTAACATATAGAAATCTGAGTCAACCTTTATTGTCAAGTCTGTCTACATCAAAGGCAAGATTAGTCGTAAAAAAATTATCAATTATAATTATCACACTAAGTGAGGTTTTATGCATAAGTGGACAGGCATCTTATGCTGCAATCAATCATTTTACCATACAAATAAAGATAACAAATATATGTATGCGACATCTTATACTACACAAATTTCATATGCTGTTGTCCTTCTTCTATAATGAGCAATCACTTATATTAAGTTACTGTTTAAGTCACATTTTTTTATATCCTCTTGTCGATCTTCATGCATGGAAACCCGATTGTGTTTTATTAAAAAAAGAAAACGATTGTGAACCAAACAATGAAACATTTAAGCATCAACGTGATAAGAACATGTGATCATGCATAGAGAACCAGAATCTCGCTTTTATTCCCGTTTCTATATATCGTATATAGATGTCTAAGGGGATATGGGATGGTTTCTTGTATATATTTATACACAGTGTAATGCGATACGCCTATGGTGTCACCTCATGAAAATGCCAGACAATAGACCTTGCCGTAAAATGTTCCATGATAGGAACGTTGATACCTCTACACGCTACAAGAATACATGGTTTAACAGTATCAAGACAATTTTAAACACTTGTAATCTTACGCATTTGATTAACTACAGTAGCGACAACATTTTTACAAACTACGTAATAGAAACAGTCAAAAGTAAGTAGACTTCAAAGATAGATGGATAACTGAAGTGCGTACAATGCCAAAACTGAGAACGTATAAAACTTTTTAAGTCCGAATTCTCAACGGAACCATATGTAAAAAGACATTTATCACGGGTGCAACTTTTAGCAATTGCAAGGATTCGCTCTGGAACCTTTTCATTAGAAATTGAACAAGGTCGTTACAGAAACATTCCAGTTAATCTACGTTTATGTAAATTGTGTGATTCAGGTTCGGTTGAAGACGAAACACATTTCCTCATCTATTGTGACCGTTATATAGATGCACGAAACAAACTGTTACACGAGTTACCATCTATTCGCCCAGTAAACATCAATGAACTATCCCCAAACGAAGCCAATACAATACTCTTTAATGCAAATAGAAAACTTGTAGCAAACTTGATGTTAGAATGTTCTAACATAATACATGACTTTCTGAAACTGTTTAATCTGTCTATTGTAAATTTTAAAAGTAAAACAATACGCATGTCTACATTTAAATATTATAGTTTTGAACTCATTTTCTTATATCTGTTATATATATTTGGCTGGCTGAGTCATTGTGCTAATACTCAATGTACATTATAATGCATATATTCAGGTTGCACTCTTATAAACTATTTATTCAATAATTGAGATTAACTTAATGACACCGACTACCTATGGTTAGATACTCAAATTCGTGGATTAAATAAAGAATGAAAAAGGTTACTATATCTGGTCTTTGACTTGTTTTTCTATAAAAAAAACATATTTTCTTTCAAGTTATTGTTTGAACTATGATACATTGAAATCAGGGTCACATTCAAGCCTTTTACAAACAACTCATTTCGTTAAGAATGGAAGTCTAACTTGGTTGCACCAAGGATAAATATTTGACTTACAAAACGCATACATTGCTTATTTTTTGGACATAACTCATTTTCCAAAGGGCTTTTCTGCTCGTAAGAAAAGTAATGGGTAAGATTTTAATCTGTTTTTGTTAATGAAAAATAAATTTAGACTATAGTATCAATGTTCAAATCTCGTGAATTGATGAAGAAGAGACAAGTCAAGGCAACAGACAAAAACTGAGGGAATCGTATGAATTCCAAAAGAAGCCAGGCCGGGTGCGTCGACAGGGTAAGCGTCTTCTGTAATAAAATCATTTTAAAAACATGCATTTATTTTGTTGGTCAATTTGTTCCATGTTGTACCAAATATACCTCCAAAGATGACCACCTGCAATGTAAGTATAAGATAGCAATTCTTCATATTCTATTATTATTTCCCTTTAAAATAAATACAAAATCATTGATAAAGTGTTTCCATTAACTATCGTTTTCATGTATTCATTATGTTTTTGGAAACAGGAAAGTACATTTGTGATAACAGGAAACAAATTGTGGTAACAGGAAATATAATATATGAATATCTATTTGTTTTAGAATGACGTGACATTGTATATAGTTATTAAATGTGGTATCACAGATAGCACTGTGCACTTCTAAAAAAGTATTTACTCCTTCATAAAAGTACAAATTAAAATATCTATTCGGTTACAATTTACACAATTAACAGTAACATTTATTTTGATATTAATTGATACTATCTTCTGTTAAAAGAGACCTATACATATCAGCATATAATTTAAATACTAAAACAATGTTTAAATTATTCATTTACTGTCATAACATTTACACGAATATTGCCTTTTATTTGTAAAGGATCTCTAGTACCCAGTCACCATTTAGGAGAACTGATTTACATACAATCTAAGACTCTTTCGTCTTCCAATAGTATTAACACATTTGACGTTTCTACACTTTACACAATTCTCATTCCTCATTCCAAACTAAAAGACAAATTAAAAGAATTGGTCCTGCTTTGTTTTATGAAAAGGAATGGCCTACGTAGATATAAGTTTCTTGTCTTGAGGAGGGATAAATCGTACTTTGTAAAAAAAATCACTCTGATTCAAACAAAAAATTCTCTGAAACTGACATTATCAAGATGCTTGATTTCATGATTGACAACATATTTATTACATTTGGAGGATGTGTTTTTCAAAAAAAAACAATCGGCATTCTCATGGGAACCAACTGTGCTCCTCTTCTTGTCGACTTAATCCTTTATTCATATGAGGCTGACTTTATACAGGAACTTCTTAGGAAGAAAGAAAAGAAGTTAGCAATAGCCTTTAACTTCACTTTTCGCTATATAGACGATGTTCTTCGTAAATTTTACGGACGCCATCACAAGGTTGACCGTTATGGAATATCCGTTTCACAGGTTACAACGGATATGTTCCAATTGTGGTAACTTCAATCCCACCCCCTTTCTTCGAATTCGACCTACCGAATTAGACTTATAACCGGGTTTGTACTAACATGGGCAACACGACGGGTACTTCGGTACAACCTTTCTTTAATTGTCTGTTTATAAATTAAGAAATTAAACTAAGGTTTCAACTCCCTCGGGCAAAGTTGGCTTTAGATAGATTTGGCTATTATTTTAAGTCCTTTTTGGTCATTTAGCTCTTTTACTATTTCGCTATTTATATATCCTTGGCTTTCATATTCTGCTTTTAGCGTTCCTAATGAAGACAAATCCAGAAAAGCGCTTCGGACACACGAAATTTATGTAGTGTTGTTTTCATTTTTACATAATGAGACCTTGTTCTGTTGCTCCTATTTAGTAGCCCTTCATTCTTTAAAGCTGGAAGCAAAAAAAAAAAAACACTTTCCAACATTCTGTCATTAAGCAAGTGTTCAAATGTATTTATGTATATTTATACAATATACATATTTAATTTTGGCATTTTAATTGAGTGCGCATGACTTATCACAGGTTATAAAAGAGAGGCGAAAAATACCAGAGGAACATTCAAACTCATAAGTCGAAAATAAACTGACGACGCCATGGCTAAAAAAGAAAGACACCAATAGACAAACAAAAGTACACAAAAACACAACATAGAAAACTAAAGACTGAGCAACACGAACACATCAAAAACTGGGGGTGATCTCAGGTGCTCCTGAAGGGTAAGCAGATCCTGCTCCACATATGGCACCCGTCGTGTTGCTCATGTTAGTACAAACCCGGTAATAAGTCTTATTCGGTAGGTCACATTCGGGAAAAGGGGACGGGACGACATTAGGAACATATCCGCTGTCATCTGTGAAACGGATATTCCATAACTCGTGATGGCGTCCGTAAACTTTACGAAGGGAATATCTTATCAATTGAGAGATATATACTCCGTATGTAGGAGCTGCTTGAATGTTGCTACATAGAAATTGAAAATTCATAATAGGGAAGCTGAAATCATCTGTTTTGTCGTAAAGTTTTGTTTTCAGCCGACCGTCATTGCCAATGTCTAGATGTAAGTCAAAATACGAGGCAGACTTAACTGTATCTGTTGTATCCTTTATCTCAAGTTCGACGGGATAGATGCGTTCAACATAGTCACCAAATTGTGAATTATTTGGTGATAAAACATCATCTTTATAGCGGAAAGTAAAGTTAAAGGATACTGCTATCTTCTTTTCTTTCTTCCTAAGAAGTTCCTGTATGAAGTCAGCCTCATATGAATAAAGGAACAAGTCGGCAAGAAGAGGGCCACAGCTAGTTCCCATGAGAATGCCGATTATTTGTTGAAAAACATGTCCTGATACATCATCATATTATTTTGAATAACAATAATTAGCAAAACTTAAGTGGATAGATTCCAAAACAGCTACCGCGTCTTTCTAGTGTACAGGATATTGATGCACGAGAGGATGTTATTAAACTTTTAAGTTTAAATAATGACAATTTATATTCTTTGCATTTAATTTTACATGAAGAAAGGAAATATGCAGAAAATATTTCAAATTATAAAGATAATAAAACTGTGATGGGGTTGAAATAGTCTTGACAAGTCCCAAGATGGATGAAAGCACTAGACAATTATACAGAAACGTAAAAACTTTTCTTGCTTTCTGAGTTCTATTTATATATAGATATATGTGTTAGAAATACACTGAA